AACTAAAGGTGAAAAATAAATAAACTAAGCAAGGGAAAATAGGCAATTCAAAATCTTCCCAACCGGCTTCCTCTATATATATAGAAGAACCCTTCATTTCTCAAGAGAATCGGTATAAAAAGCCTTACTTTTTATTTCTCCTCTTTGTATCATGACCTAGTTATTATTGTAGTATATAGTGCTCTCAAACACACATTCAATAATCTGTCCCTTTCTCTTCTTTTTTCGCTCTTCACCATGAGTAGCAGCGGCGGTGATGGTAGTGGTGGTGGTGGTGGTGGTGGTGGTGGTCAAGGCTTTAGGGGTTTGATCCCGGGTAATGTAAAGAAAACGATCCAAAGGATTAGGGAGATTATAGGAAAGAAGCTCAGCGATGAAGATATCTATTCAGTGCTCAAAGAGTGCGACATGGATCCTAATGTGACCGTCCAGAAGCTCCTTTGTTTAGGTATTGGTCAAGGCTTTAGGGTTTTGATCCCGGATAATGCAAAGAAAACGATCCAAAGCATTAGGGAGATTACAGGAAAGAAGCACAGCGATGAAGATATCTATTCACTGCTCAGAGAGTGCGGCATGGATCCTAATGAGACCGTCCAGAAGCTCCTTTGTTTAGGTATTTAAATGTATGGGTGTGCATACGTGTTTCTCTGCTTCTTTTTCATCTGGGTATTTAGGGTTTTTGTTATTTTGGATTGCGTTACGGTTTTGTGTTATTTCCAGGCTTGTTGGGTTTATGATCTGCATTTTAGTTGTGGGTTTTGTGTCTCATGTTGAAAGAAAGACCAAAGGGTGGATTTTGAAAGGTAGATACGTGTTATATATGTGTTGTGGGCAATGCAAGGTCAATTTTGGGCTGGTTAGTTCATTGGTTTTGTTCCTTTTTTGGAACAGTGTCATTTGTGTTACTAATATCAAGGGAGCTAGATGAAAGTAATTCAGGATTTTCGATAATGTGTTTGATTTCCTTTGATTTAAGATTCAATAGGGCTTTCTGATTTGATTTTAGCTGGACCAAAAGTTTTTTTTTTTTTTTTTCCCTTTTTTTTTTTGAGGATTGCTTTCTTCTGAGGATTGCTGTTTCTTTATCTTAGAAATGAAGATGTTAGCCGTAGATATGTTGGACAAACTGTTTATTTCATTATGGTTTTTGCATTTCATGTCACAGTCCAATTGTGGAGTGCATACTTTGTCTTGCAATTTTTGTTCTCAAAGCATGACCACTATATTGTTTGGTTGGCAGATACATTCCATGAAGTGAAAAGCAAAAAACGTGATCGGAAAAAGGAGGTATGAATTCATTTCCTTTCCAAAGGGCATAAGGACTGTTTCCTTTTATCTTTAAACGATTCATGAGAGGATCCACATTTTGAGATTATATATATCTCAAATTTGTATGGATGTTTCTCACCTACAATTGCATTGTATCAGTGATGGTCTTTGCTATTCTGTGTGATCATGTTCTCTTTAGTATTGCATTTAAATCCCATATAGCTTAACAATTTGTCTAACTCAGTGCTTCCATTTACAGCCAGCTGGCACACAGGGACGAGGGACCCGAGGAAACTATTACTCTAATTCTACCTTGTCTGGTAAGCTTCTTCTGCCCATAATAAGTTCTCATACCCTTGACATTTAATTGTGTGATTGCAATAAGTTGATTTTATTAAGATCGACTTTCTATGCATACTGTTCTTTTTTCCTTTTGTTCATATACTTAACTCTGCAGCTTTGAGAATGGCTTAGGATTATGTTGGCTAACTACTCGTTTGTCTTCTCAGATGTTGAAGGGGGAAGGAATGCACCTGCGCGAAGGGAAAATGGGATTAATCACATTACAGATAGAGGTTCTATTCCCTTGCCAGTTTCACAGAGAGGGAAAAATAATCCAGTTTATAACATCAAAAGGTAAATATTTAGCCTGCTTTCATTACAAAATCAATTCCAGACTCTGAGGACATTCTTTCTCTCTCTCTTTTTTTGTTCATCTCTCATTTTTATCACCTAATCCTCTAAGAAGGCTATAAGTTAGATTTTAACCTGGAATTTATTTTACTCTATCACAGAACTCCAACTGCTGACCCCAATGGCACAGAAAATTTATCCAACAGGAACTCAATTCATGCACAAGTGACCAAAATGCCTGCCGATGGTGATAGTAAAGGGACCAAGGTTGCTTTACCTGTTAATGTGAAAAAGTCGGCCGCTGCCACAGTGTTACTGGGCCTGCCAGCTGTGAAGGAATCTTCTAACTCTGTTTCACTTCAGACACTGGCCTCATTGGTTTGTAATCAAGAGAAGCCCATACTAAGTTCAAAAGAGTCCTCAACTGCTGCCATAACTCCTGTATCTGGTGTCTATTCCCCTGCTTCAGATCCTGCATTGGCACCATCTTTGCCTCACCATGCTGGTGCAGTTGGCACAGTTGAGCATGAAGTAGGTAGGCAGCAGGAAGCTGTAGTCAACCATATTCAAGGAAATAACACAATCTCCAATGATTCAAACTCTGTACACTCAGATAAGGCCCCTCACATACCAAATGCTGCTGAACAGATTGACCCTTCTGTGTCTGTAGAACCCTCTTTACCTGAAGGTGTGCTTTTCTACGAAAAGAAATTGTATTCATACATTTTCCTTTTAAGCTGTTATTAGCTAAGGGTCTGTTTGGTATTGCTTCTGATTCAGTATTTATGTGTTGTTTTTTACAAATATGGAAACCAAGGCAGAAAACCTGTTTGGTCAGAGTTCTTAGTTTTCTTAAAAGTGGAATCTTACAACAGGATTCCATAGTCTTTTGAAAGTAAAACAAATCTAGTTTTTGGTTTTCAAAATTTGGTAAGTGATACAAATTAGAGTTCATTAGTGGAGGCATTCTGGGGTTTGGTTTTCCTGTTCATTACCCTTTTACAGAAACTTACTTTTAGCTCTTTGTCTTAATAAGTTTGTAGGTTTTAGCCCCTTACCTTATATTATGACACTTTTAGCCCCTCACTTTTATGAATTGAAGAAAATAGCCCTTACTTAATGTTAGTTTATAACGTTCGTCAGTTGATTGTTAGTATTCCATTAGCTCTGTTCTTGTCACTGTTAACAGTTTATCAGCTGAATGTTAACATTTTGTTAATAGTCAACTGACAAACATTATAACCTCACGTTAAGTAAGGGTTATTTTTTTTAATTCGTATAGGTGAGGGGCTAAAAGTATCATAGTATAAGTTGAGGGGCTAAAACCTGCAAACCTATTAAGGCAAAGGGCTAAAAGTAGGTTTTTGCCTTAACGTTCCAACTTCCCAATTTCTTTTTAAGGCTCTATTTTTGAGTTTTTTTTTTTTTACTGGGTATGAATGTTGTCTTGGGC